CGATTTCGCTTTGTTGACTGGAACCTGAAGAAGCCCATATAATTCTGCCCCTGAGGAAGAAGCCCATATATCTTCTAATGATAAAAAGCATCAGTTGAGAGCTTAAATAAAAGAGAAAGGTTCCATTAAAAAAATTTTTTTTTTTTTATTTTACAATTTAAAAAGTTTATACTGTAAAATAAAAATGATTGAATAAAAATGAATCTCTTAATATCAAGACACCTAATAGTTAAAATTGTGCAATTTAAAATTTAAAATATTTTTTAACAAATAATAATAATAATATACAAAACGTTATTTATGAAAGGAATAAAATAGGATAAAATTGGGTTCATCATGTAAATAAATAATTAAAATCTCTGTTCCCCAATCCCCATAACACCTGGATCCCTACCTCGTTCCATCCCAAACCAAAAGTAAAGGAGAACATCCATGCTGAATAAATAAACACCACAATACCACTAATACTTCAGCTTCGATAATGAGAAATATATATAAATATATACACAAATAAAGCGTGGTACCTGATTTTGTTGCAACAAATTTCACCAGACATTGCCCTGCAATATTTCACCCATTAAAAATCTACATGAGGAAAACAAATAACATTACAGAAAGCGAAAGCTAGTTGGGACATGGAGCTCCTGGGGCCACAACCATTTGGGATGTGGAAGGGGTGTACTACCCTATACTTCAGTTCTTGTTTCTAATTCTAGTTCTTTTCTTCTCGGATGTACCCAAAAAAAATAATAATAATAAAATAAAATAAAAGAAAGTGTAACACTAGCAAGCTGGCATTATGTAAAAACAACCAAATTGAGAGCATTTAGCATTCTGGTGCAGAATTCTGCACCAACATATGCATACTCATCCTGTCCTTAGCGGCCTTAAGGTACATTTAATCAAATACCAATGCGTGGGCTCTTGAAAGTTGAAGCTGAAGAAGAAAAGTCTATCTAGACAATGCAACAAGACAGTTTTATCTTCCTTTCTTCATCAAACACATAGCTCATTACAACCACAAATGCATTTGCACCAATAAGAAATAACATGAAATGAGATCTTGTAAAACAAGGCTCCATACTAAATCTTAAGGGGGTCAATTCACTCCATGTGTCAACACATGCACATTAGATACCATATCATCCACCATATTCAGATGTGCTTTCAGGCATCCTAAGTATCTCCTATCTAATTGCCAAGAAAATGAGAGATCCCTCAAATAAATGTCACTTGCAAACAACAGCATTGTTTATATCTGCATCTTTCACTATTCGTTTCCAAGGATGGATTGAGGGGCAACATGAAATTCTGGAACACAAAATATAGGAATGACTTGTAGGTTTTACCTGTTACTTTTCCAGCCAATTTTTTTACAGAAAGAAACTCTCAATTCCGTCTGCCACGATAAGGAGAAGCTGAGCCTAAGGACGTAGAAAGTGACCTCCTCACAAATGAATGGTCTAAGAGCTGAGCAGCTGTTGGGCGATTATTTGGATTGACTTGTAGGCATTGCAGGATAAAATCTCGTGCATCTTTTGACAAAGAGTCAGGAACAGTTGGTGGTTCACCCTTCCCAATTCTATACAAGGCCTGCATCTGTTTGAGTTACAAAAGAAAAAATCTGTTACCAAACAGGGAATGGTACTGCAAAGTTGTAGTTGCAAACTTGCAACAGTGGGAAGAATAAAATACTATTTTCAGGTTATGGAGGGGGCTGGCAATCTACACTCGACACACTAGCAAATAGGTGTTTAATTGAACCAATACAAGTCAATACAATGCCGAGCTCAGTCTTGACTCTGTTAACCTTATACAAGCTAGACCTTGAGCATGCTTCTTATGTCTAAGCTTGAGCTTGGCTTGATTAACTTTACATAGACTAAAGGTTAACTAATAAATATTAATTACATAAAATTAATTACTAAAGGTTAACTAATAAACATTAATTACTTATAATTAATTATTTTTTCAGGCAATCTCTCTTCTAGATTTATATTTC